GAAGTAATTGAGTATTTACTTTGATCATTTATTACAATAAAATGGCTCTCTTAATTTAAATAATTAAAATCGCTGCATACAATGTCATAATTTACAACAGTTTCTGTTCTCCATTTACTGTTAGTTATTATTCGGCTGAAGAAGGAGTCGTTATAAATCTCCAAAAAGTTTGCAACTGAAAATTTAATTTAGTAATTTAAGGAATATTATCAAGTGAGCAATTTTTTATCTTTTTTAGAATTATCTGCGGTTTTACTGTATGAAGATTTTTGATAACATAAGTATAAAATGAAATGTGTGGTGCAATTTAACGGATTTCAAAAATGATGATCCATTCTATTTTATATTTCATAATGAATTATACGAAAGTTATAACTTATAGATCGCAAATACTATGTTATAATCATATCGCTGAAATAATTTTTTCTATTTACCTGTCTTCCTAGAAAGGTATCTTTTTGATGGAAATGAACCCTTTTGCATTTTCTCGTTGTTTTTCTATTTCAAATTTACAAAATAAACATTGAAAAAAAAAAGTGAAATGATTAAGTATACAGTTTCCAAAAACAGATTTTTTTCTTCATGCTATTTACATTCATTTAATTTACATTTAATTTGAAATTAAATTTTAAATAATAAAAATGCATGGAGTAAAAATAATTTGTTTAAATATCAAAATTCATTATCTGTTGTGTTGTTCCATTCATCGATTCGTCGAATTATCGGAAAAAAAAAAGATGAGCACGGTGAATTTGCGCATTTATTGCATAACAAGAAAAAAAAACACTCATCACTATTTTTTTGTTTTCATTTTTTAAATACAAATTATATAATTTTAAAACATTTGAACATGTGAATTGGATTCTTCCACAGATTTCCAAAATCGTTTCGTTGGAGCGGAAGATGGTAATGAAATGAGTGCCGCTGTTGTCTGAGATGGTGTAATCATTGATGATCGTCTATGATAGGCTAATTGACGTCTCTAAAAATTAGTCTTTTAATTACAATTGAAATTCACTGAAGAATTACAATAAAGCTATTGATAATGTTCATTGTGATCAGAGATTAAACAACCAATCCTTGAACATTATCACATTTTGAAAAGATTTGAAGAAATTATTGCATGAAGCTAATGAACAATCTCTCTTTTTCAATAATTTTTTTTAATTTCAATAAAATTTGGAAGAGCAACTGTTTCTTACTTCATATAAATGTCCTCCTTTAATTTTCTCTATAACAAATGCAATTATAAAAGCCCATGCTTTTCTTGAAGCTTCCGTTCGGCCTTTCTTATCACCCCAATCTAAAGTGCAATCGATAAACGCTTCCGCCATCAAATTCCAGATTTCCTTTGACACCTGTCGTCGAGCTAACTTAAAATATCATCAGTGAAATTTCAAATGGTCACATGTAATTCAATGTTAAATTGTATTATAATTTTGAGAAAATCTAACAATTAATATTTTCGAATTTCGCAATCGAATAACTCGAAAAATCAAACCAACAGTTTTTATTTAAAATGAATTTCGATTTTGAATTCATTAGTTTTATTATGAATTAAAACGAGTTAGTTTATTTGCATAACTATAATTCTAATTCATCAAATACAATTCATTAAAATGAATTCCGATTTCATTTACATGCTGACTATAATTTTTTCAATTTGAAATTTACAAATATTTAACTAACATTTGCATGTATAGCACCAATAGAAAACAAATATCTGGACATCAATTCTAAATTTTCTAAATTGTCAACAATCTGCAAACAATAG